CTAGTTTCGAGAAATGTGTAGCCAGTCAACTTGCAGCTGTCCCATAAAAGCTACAAGTTGATTAGCCACACATTACTCGGAACTAGAACTTGGACCAAGTTCCAGCATCGTGGGCACAGGCTGACATTAGGAAATAACGCCGATTGGTCGAGGGTCGCGCGCGGTCTCGAGAATACGAGATCGCGGCCGGCGGTTATCCTTCGGGGGAGACTTGCCGAGCTCGGTGGGAGACTGACGATTACGAGTAACAGAAATATCCATATCGGAGAGACTTCCGCTAATAGCATTAATATTACGATTAACACCGACGCTTATTTCTCCGTTCCTCTCTCTCTCTCTCTCGCTCGCTCGACTCGCGACGCTTACGGTAAATCTTCTCGTAACGAGTATATTAGCGATACACGACCACTATACAGATAATAGAGAAATCGCAGGGCTTCGTTGAAATTGTTCCAAAGCCGGGTCCCGCCGGGGATAAATTTATCTCCCAGTTATAGCTGACTTCTGTCAAGCCAAAGTACCGAAGGCGGGTTTCATGCCAAGAGCAACACCGCTCCGCCGAATATAATCGATATCGCCCTGTTCGCTTCCGTCCGTCCGAAGTCAATCTCGAGTCAGATTCGATGCCACGGCGGCGATTTACCGGGAATCTCGCATCTCTCCCGAGGATCGAGCGTCACGTGCTATCGTTACTCTCTCGCGCCGTCGCTTTATTCTCGGACGATAAGACGCTGCTCCTGCGGGGCGCAGGGAATTTTGAGAAATGGATCGAACGCCTATCTCCCGTGAATCAAAATGTTCCGTAAGAGAGTAACAGTGCGCGAAGGTCCGGACGACTTCTCGCGGCTGTAGAAAATAGACGAGAGACGCGCGCGGCTTTCCACGTTTCTGTGTACGTCATAAATCAAGATGAATGATACGAGCCATCGGAGTGCCATGCCATCTCCGACAGATGCATCAATCTTCTCTTACACGTTAGGGGTATTTTGCTCCGGTGGCAGTGACTTTTTGACCGCCGCCGCTCATAAAAGCGGCCGAGACTATCGCGTCTTCCCGGAACGTGCATTTCGTCTCGGCCCAGAGCATTCGCGCCAATCTCTTTTTTTTTAAATACAGTTCACGCGGGGCGCGATTCGTATCGCGACCAATGCGAATTTCGCTCGTATTACAATCGAATCGGAGAATCGGTCATACGTTTTTCCACCGTGCGCATCGCGAATTGAAACAAATCAAAATAGAACTGCCATTAGCCTTTGCCGCGCCACGCTGGTGCGGCCGTGTTTCTATCGTTAAAACATTTCGATCGACGAACATTCCGGTGTACGTAATCACAGATCGCCTGTATTTCGTTACAACGCATATCTTGCCGGCGAGAACAAAATTACTATTCGCCACCGATTCGGAGGCTGCAACGAAGTCCTGCGACTCACAAGATCCACGTCGGCCGACCGACCGTGCGAGAACATTCTTACGGCTGTTACGCGGAGAGATACGATCGTAGGAACAATCATCGCACCTTGCCACATCTCGGCGTAACTTCGCTGCGTAACTGTACAAGGCGCCTTAGGTTTGCTCGGGATAGAGTCGCTGTAATCAGAGTCTGACCAGAGCTGCCCGTGGTGTCCGCGATGCTCCAACTCGGTCCGAGTTCTAGTTCCGGGAAATGTGTAGCCAATCAACTTGCAGCTTTTATGGAGTAGCACACTTCTCGAAACTAGAACTTGGAACCGAGTTCCAACACCGTGGACGCAGGCCTTAACGGGCCAGACTGGCGGAGTTCTACACCGAAGAGAAAATTTTCGCCACCGTAGCTAATCATGATCCTTGCCAAAAGTATTTAATGAACTGTAAATTTAATAAACCACAGCAAACGGCTCGCTGTCGCGCCTGATACAATAGGCGCAGTAGCAAAATATTTAGCTGTCGCAACTAATTAGTTGTCCGCACTTCACAACTGAAATTATGTTGCCACATGCAGTTTTTGGCTACGGCAGCTACACTCTTCTCTCCGTGTGCGAGAGAGAGAGAAGGGTGTACGAGGGTGGCTTGACAAACAACTTGATCTGATCCATTTCTCAGTGGCACTTAAGACGCCTGTGTTCAAGTAACTGCCAAGCAACGAATTAGCATCGGAATGACTCGAAACTTTGTGACCGCATATACGAATGTCGCTGTCGCTCTCTATCAGTATGCGAACCAAGTTACTTATCAAACCACCCGCGTACATTCGCCATCTCTAGCTCATTCTTTCGCCCTCCCTTCTCTTTGTTCTCGCTCCTCGTTCCTTCGTTCCGCAGTTGCACAGACATAGAAGGCCCAATCCAAAGTTGCCTGCTGTCCAAGCTCTGATCAGAGGGACTCTAGCTCGGGGTGGAGGGGCGGGGGCGTGGTTGAGAAAATCGGAACATGCTGCGGCAAGACGAAAATAGTACTAATGACGGTCTGATTTATTAGCTGGCTCCCAAAGTCAGGACAGTTTTACGGTAACGGGACCGGTAACAACGGCTGTCTTTTGTCGCTATGATTAATCCGCATAATAATGTCGCGCCTCGGATCGTTTCCCGCGTAGGATCGCGCCCGCGCGACTCTCTTGCCAGAAATATATAGCGTAGCGAGAGCGCGCGGGCTCACCGCGGGAGAACGTGAGCGTGACACGTCGTCTCTCTGGACGCGTAAACGGCGCGGCCCGTCAGAATTGGTTCGCGATAACGCCAAGTTGTCGTCGTTGCGCGCGTATCGACGACGAGTTTGCAGAAACGTAAAATGTCGAGCGGCACGAGATTGTCCCAGCAATCCCATTTCTCTCGGACCACAGCGTCCCGGAAAGTCCGACGGTCAAGTTACAGGAGCGTGGGCGGGGGGGCGGGGGGAGGGATGCACGTGTCTGTTCCTCTACTGTGTGTATGCGTTTGTGTGTATGCGTATCTGTCTACATGCGCTTGCTCGCGTACGATGGTCAAGATCGCTCGTTGGCGGGTGGAAGGCACGGGGTAAGGATATCAAAAGGGTGGGTCGGGACTCGACGACGTCAATGGCGACGACCGCTCGCCGTCGAGCCCGCGTGGATCGTCCTCGATCGCGCCGTCCGAACTATCGATCGTCGCCGGTCCAGTCGCTCGCCGCCCACGCGGGCAGCGGCGTCTCGTACTCCCATCCCGGGCCGCAGTAACGCCACGCGTGCAGATACATCACCAGGTCCGACGGCTTCGGGTCCCTGTACTTGACTTTGCACTCGTAGCAGTGCGGGTCAACGGTGACCTTGTCGTTGGCGAAGGTGGAATCTGGCGGTTCCGAGCCAGTCTGCGTTCCCACGGTAACTTTGAGGGATTCCTGCTGCGGCGGCGGTTGCTGCTGCTGTTGCTGCGGCGGCGGCTGCTGCTGCTGTTGCTGCGGCGGCGGCGGCGGCGGCTGCTCGTCCTCGACCAGACCCGGGGTGGACGACGGCGAGGAACCGTTGTCCTTGTCGCTGCCGGAGCCCAGCATGCGCTCCTCCAGCTCCAGCTTCGTCTTGAACAGGCTCATGTCGGAATCGCCGTCCATGCCGAGCCAATTCTCGGCGTTGTGGATGCTGATGAGATCCCGGACGAGCTCCTCGTCGGTCTTGCCGATGTTACCGCCCCTGCCCTTGTGCGGGCCGAAGACCACGTGATTGTAGAGGGGATCGTTCACCACGGGATAGCCGAGGTACTGCAGATGCACGCGGATCTGGTGCATGCGCCCGGTCTGAGGCTTGCACAGCACCACCGACGACTTGCCGTTGTAGCTGAGGCGCTTGAAGCGGGTTACGCAATCCTTGCCCTTCTCCGAGACCTTGCAGACGCCGATCTTGTAGGAGACGACCTCGATCGGCTCCGAACAGATCACCTCCTCCTCGGGGAACTCGCCCTCCACTCGGCACACGTACTGCTTGTGGACCTGGAACGTGAAGACACGACGTACAACATCGCGAAGTCGTCGCGCGCTCGCCAACGTAAGCGTCTCCGTCGTTCAACGACGGACGAGCGACGTCAGCTGCGCATCCGTATGTTTCTCTCTCTCTCTCTTTTTCTCTCGCATACCCGAGATGCAGCGCCTACGCAACCAACCTGTCGGTTTCTTATTTGATGCTCCATCTGTCTCGCCTTCTTCGGCGTCCTACCGAACAGCAGAATGCCGCTGGTCAGCCGGTCCAGCCTGTGGATCGTCCTGAGATTCTTCAAGTTGTACTCCTTCGCCAGGATAAAAACCACGGTGTTGTGCCGGTAACGGCCGCACGGGTGCACCTGCGAACAGAGTCCAACGGTCATTTTATTTACGCGTCTTCGGGCTTCGCTCCGGGTTCGAAAGCCGCTAGGAGAAAACGATCTGATCCGCGAGCGCTTTCTCCAAATACTAGAAAAGAGACCAGAGTGTACCGGAGGGGGGAAGATCGCGGGACCTTTTACGCAGCTTCGTCCCGAGTTCGAGGCGCGTCTCTTAAGGCCTGTGTCCACGATGCTAGAACTTGG